TCTGTTGACCTCTTCCCCTGCCTTTAAGGCATAGCAGTTCACCCAGAATCCCTCCGTCACCCTTTCTTTCAGCCTGTTGCATATACTTAGTGTGGCCCTGCCTTCCATGAAGTGAAGCCAGACCAGCTTGTCCTGTGCCTCATCTGCATATACACTTTTGGAGCATCCCACGACTCATGACAAGAGCAGCTGGTTCCAGTCATGAGTGGGGGCAAATTACCGCATAGATTCTTTGTGGGGGGGTATCTGAAAGTACACACATACTGAGCAGTGCTAAGCTGTGGGGTTACCATGGCTTGAAATGCTCTTGATCCAATGAATTATATGGTAAATCACAAGCCTTTTGGTTTTGGACCAATATCATGCATAGTTTGTACTATATATAAGTAGATGTCAAAGTACTGCTTAAAAGTGTGCTTATGGAGCAAGTACCTGTGCTAAAAACTGCAGCAGTTTCAAAGCAGGTAAAAGGCATCAATGCTAGATGAGCTAAGTCTGTGGGTAATGTGTGCAAATCACTACAGCTATGTTTATTTCAAGGTCAGTATTTTCAGATGTGCTCCTCACTTCCATAAGCTCAGGGAGAGCAGGGTCCAACCATAAGGAAGGAGGGGAAAAGGGACTTCAGGGGGAAAAAGTTGGGGGCAGACAGAGTGTGAGGGGTGTATCTGACCTCCAAGATTTATTTTCCCAGCTGTAGCAGAGAGAGGGGAACAAATTCAAGGCAAACTTCCAATAGTTAGATTCTCTACCTGGAAAATTATAACAAATGTATACATTTTCCATATATAGAATCTAATTGTTGGCCAGTCATCTTATATAATCAGGGTCATCTTATAGTCTATAAATATGGTAACTTGTTTTAATTGACTATCTTTGCTCCTCAAGAGTTATATTTTAAAATGTGGCACCTGATTTCAGATGCTTACTTTTTCTTTGGTGCCCAATTTGAAAAAAAGTACGCATGTTTGTGGGGAAGGGGGATGGCTTTTCACAGGTATTATGAGGAGAAACTCAGAAATCCTACAAACTCTACATAAATAGTGGCTTCATGCAAAGTATAAGCCATTGGTAAAGCCAAAGGAAAGGAGTCTTATCTTCCATTTTGTATGGGCCCAGCCTTATAGCTCTTACTCATGCAAGCAGTTTATGAGCTACTTACACAAGTGCTACAGAATGGAAGTTTATATTGCTCCAGTTTGCAATGAAGGACAAGGCAACAACTACCACAGTACTCAAGAAAAAGAAAGCAAGCTTGTAACTTTTACAGCTAATAGCTGCTTGGCTGGAGTTAGTATTATGGAAAATTTGTTAACACAGCAGAGTACATTAACACAATAATAGCCTAATCCTGCCAGGTGCTGAACCCTTCAACTTGAACCCTGCTGACATCAGCAGGAGTTGCAGATGTTTGTCCTTCTGGATTGGCACTACTGACATGACACACTTAACATTAAAGAATAACAGTCTGTAGATGAAATAGCATTTGAAGATAAACTTCCAGATCCTGGGTTCTCAATAGGTCAGGGGAGACTGATAAGTACCTTCCTTCTCTTCATGCATAGGAGGGGGATCAGAAAGACTATGGGAAAAGGGGCTTATCGTAAGTTTACAGGATGAAAAAGATCGGGATCCACTGCCCTAGAGTGCAGAATTGATGAGCAAGCATACAGGGAATGGTTACATCTGAGATTTTCCACTTGGCCCAGTCATTATATTAACAAATATCAGTATCTGTGCTAAAACTGCTTTAAAAAGCATAGAATTTGTTAACGATAAATATCTGCATTGCTGAGTAGCAATTAATAATTTATTACTTATACTGCTGTAGAGCCTGTGAGCCTTTCCCCCTTCCCCACCCTCGTCACGATCCAGACCTCATTGTGCTAGTAGTGTATAGAAAAATAAGACAGAGTCTCTTTTGAAAAGCATATACATGACAGCTACACTGGGAAGCTAAGCAAGTGAGTTAGCTTGCTGGCTTGACTGTTTACTGTGGTGTAAGTGATTTAACAAGGTTTTTAACATGAATCAAGGAAACCGGTCTCACTGCTGAGACATGGCTACTACAAAATAAAACAGAATTTTGCACTTGAGTTCTGAGGAGGATCCTGTTCAGTTCATTAAGAAATCCTGTTTCAGGGAATCAAAGAAGCCCTGTGCTATCCAACTCTAACATATTCCTATGGATTACTCTCTCTAAAGAACCCCTCAATTTTCATTTAGATTCCCTCTGACAATTATTCAGAGGAAGCAGATACAGGAACTTATGCCAGCCTCTGCAGGAAACTCACTCCCTATTATGTTTCTAACCGCTTCACACAGCTTTTCTTGTCCCTATTGCACCCACAGTTTGTACAAAAATAAGAAAACTACATATATTACACCAGCTTCTGCATCTTTGATTTTTGCAAATTTTTCATACTTTAGGCAGGATGCATAATGATATCACTGGGGGCCAGAAAAAGATTCTCTCTCTTTTCTTTTCCTTCTTCCTTCCTTTCCTCTTCTCTCGCTCTCTTTTATAAACAAACAACACCTCACACCCAGATAGATGAATTATAGGGTTTTGTGTTCCTCTTAAGCGTCATAAATTACCCATTGATGGAGTTATGTGTTAACAGAACAAGGTTCGCATCTGTTATGGCAATATTGCATAAGCCAAATTCAAATCTCAGTTTGATTGGTATGAATCAGTCCAATCTGACAGAAGAAGAAGAAACACCTGAATTTCCTCTCAAGTTATTCAGTCAGCCTAAGCCACAGTAGATTCTCTACAGCTCGGTGTGGAACCTGGCCAGGCAAAAGGGGTCCAGGACCATCCCAGCTGAGGGCCTGCATGTGCGCATACCCTACACCCTCAAGAGGCATGGCCCAGAGCAATTTACTAAGGAATTCTCGTGCCCCCTGGCAAATGCAAAAAAGGGAAGACAGCTTCAAGTATCACTCCCTTTTTTCTCTAATCTCAGTGAAGCTGGGAGGAGGAGGACATATGTCCTTCCTCAACCAGTTGGTCCCCTTTGCCAGTCACTCAGCCTCCAACTGCTTTCCCCATGCAGCCACCTGAACCAGAAAACAGCCTCAGTTGGCCTCAGCAAGCTGGACTGTCCTTTCCCCTTCACGTCCCCTGCACGTCCCATCTTAACAGTGGGAAGTCTTGCTCAGACTGATACAGGAAGTCAGCAGCAGAGTAGGGCCTTGTTTGCTCAATACATGGGCACAGTTACAGGTGCAGGATTGTAATGACATGTAATTCTCATTAGCCTCAGGATTGCCTGTGACTACATCTTTGTACTTAAAGCTGCACAAAGAGGCTTTTTTACTACTGGTACTTCCTTAAACCTGTAAAAATGACCCCAAACAAACAAAACATTCTAAATGAACATGAATCTCTCTCCACCTGAACCGTCTTTGCTTTCACCAATGCTAGGGTTTTTTAATTTTTTTTTATTTTTAGCCTCAGTCATCATCCTCCCCTCCCCCGATTGTGTTTTGTATTACAATGCTCTGTGCAGTGATGAATCGTTCTTCCCTCACATGTGCTGGCACGTGCCGGTAACCCCACCCACGCAGTGATGAACACCTGAGCTCCGTGTCTGCCTAGAAACACAAAGACTCAACGTTTTGAAGGCTTTACCGTCACATGTGAAAAAAAAAAGTATGCGTTTCAGCCTCCAGAACCCACACTTACTGTATAGACTAGCATGTCTCAGGTCTTGTGTTAGCTGGCTGTGTTTTAGCTTAGGCTCCTTACTGACCACAGAGTCAACTGAATAGGTCAGCCTGCATTTAAATGGGGCTTTTCAGCTGTATTAAGCTAACTCATTTGGACTATATGTTTGCAAACCACTGCCTTTCTGACCATCAAGATGCATTCAACGACTCATACCTTAAGTGTGCAGCACTTGGCTAAATTTCTGCAACAGTTGCTACTGACTGTGTCCATGCACACTATATACTGGCTTGATTGTTGTATTGATCAACAACCAATTGTACTGATTATTGCCATGCACTGACAATATGTATGAACACATTAAAGAAAGGGTAAGCCCAGAGGTATGCATGTTTGGAAATAAGAGGTCCAGGAAGAATTTTGAAAAAGTCTCTTCCTGGATGAACACACACCAACTGCTGAAACTTCCTTAGCCTGACGAAGGGTTTTTGAACCTGAAATCTTGCTTAATAACTTTTCTCCAACTATTTGGGTTGGTCTAATAAAAGATATCAAATTCACCCAAGGAATCTTGTCTGCCTATGTCCTTAGACCAACACAGCTACAACCTAAACCCCTTAAATCTACAATGCATTTGAATTTTTTTTTTAAGTTTACCTAATCAATAGCAACCTGAGACAAGATGAGTGCTTATTTCTATAGATTTGATTATCCACTCCCATGGTATAACAGCTGGTAACTTATGTTATGATTTAACTTATTTTTACCCATTAATATTCAATTGAATATTAAACCGTCAAGTTTGTAATTCTCACTCTAGCACCTTCGCTTTGTACCTACTGGTACAAAAAAGAATAACTCAGTTTGGGTTGCAATGTACATACCATCTCCTTTCTGCCCTCATCCTTCTCTTGAAGTTTCAGATGGGCAGACACCTTTAATAGAAGCATACAATATAATTCAAGTTAATTTCAAACTGATCAGAGTCAGGACACCATTTATAACCATGACAAATCTAAATCATCGTATTCAAGTAAACATTTTAATAATTTGTTCCAGCATGGGACAGACATTAGAAAATAGAAACTGGAGAAGTACAGTCTTAGCTTATCACAAAAACAAGTGTATGTATATGAAAGGGTATGCTTGTGTGTAAATTGTGATGGGAAAATATTCAAGGGACTGAAAAAAAAATAAAAAAAAATCAGTGCTTAGAAAAGATCCAAAAAACAAGGAGTCTGGTAGCAGCAGAAGTGGGTTTGGATGCAGACAGTCAAAGCTAGGAAATTCCCAGCTCTGCTGCTGATTTTTCTTTGTGGTGCAAACTAGTCAGAGTTGCTCTGCACTTTGGGTCCCCATCTCCAATATGAAAAGAGCTGTATTTCCTTACTTTACAACTGGTGGGTTGAAGAACTATTTGTTTCTGTTTGTGAGGCTTTCAGTTACCAGGGCAATGTGGAACATATAAGTAAAGAAATAAATAATCCCAAAGAAGATAGCATCTGCTGTCCTAAGAGATAACTCTCAACAATTCTACTCTGCGGTTATTAGAAGTAATTACACTGTTAAGTAATTAACTTTTGTCAGTGTCTTGAGTGGTCATTTTAGACAGAGAGTATATTATTTGGGCCCAATTTAACAGCAATGGCTCTGTTTTGCAGCTGTAATTTAGGCAGCCACTTTGAAAAATTTGTCCCTATTGGTCTTTGACTTCTTTGTACTCATGAAGCAAATGAACCTGGAAAGCCTTCATGAAGAGAAGAGCCTTTACAGAAATCTGCATAATTAATTATAACTCTGGAAAGAAGCAAATAAAAGGTATAGGCAAAATTAAATGATAGTTGTCTCTTTTGGCCTTAGACTCTGTGAATTGACAACAGCATCTTTGTTAGTGTCCTTATCAAACAATAATATTCTTAAACAAAAGACTTTGTATCTTGAAAGTTTGGTGGGTATCATGAAACTGATGGGTTGATTGAACTAAACTGCAGAAGTTTTAGACTGTCCCTTCAAGCTAGCCCTCAGTAAACAGGCACTATGTCAAGAGATGAGGCAAAGAGATTTTATTTTCTTTAAATTCTAGGAGGCTTCACAGGAAGTACAGGGGAAGAAAGACAGAAGGAGACTGTATATAAGTTCTCCTCTAGCCAAGGAAGAAGACAAAAGATCATCATCAGCAGAGCCCTGACTCAGAGCAGCACCCTGCCAGACTGCTCTCACACTATGAGAACACAGGAGATAGGAGGAGACAGGCAACCTTGAAATCCCTTTGTAACAATTTTCTAAATCAGAGCTGGGCAATTATTTGGGCTAGAGGGCCATTTAATGAGTTTTAGTGAGCTGTTGAGGGCCACACACACACACACACACACACACACACACACACTCCCAGCACCTGGGCAGAGACTGGGGCCAAAGCAGCAGCAGGAGTAGGAGCATGAGCCTGCCTGGTAGGGTGGCCATCATAGAGGACATTCCAATTTTCTGCTACTCTGTCCTCTATTGATATGAAACCCAATGCCTTTATGTCCTCTATTTTTCTCTCTCTCTTTAAGAGAAAAATAGAGGACATAAAGGTTTCGGGTTTCATATCAATAGAGGAGAGAGGACAACCGGACTGTCCTCTACGATGGCCACCCTACTGCCTGGGGATGTAGCGTCTTAACTCCACTTCTCCCCGCCCCACTACCCTCGCTGCCTGGGTTGGCTTACACTGGCAGACAGAACTGGGGCTGAGAGCTGCTCTGTGTCAGGGCCAGGACTGTGGCATTCACAGCCCAGCAGATCTGGGCTTCGGGGGGTGAAGGCGGGGGAAGAGGGAGAATGCCTCTTGGCCTCCCCTCCCAACCTGCTGTGCAGACCCCAACTGGGAAGTCCAGGCTAGGGGGTTCAGTTCCCCAACTCACCCGTCACCCTGCCATACAGTGCCAGGTGGGTGGGTGCAGCTCCAGCTGCTAGCACAGCAGGGGACACTAGGGAAGCAGCCCTGCCCTCCCAGCACCACAGAGACCAGACTCCATCTCCCAGGCTGCCACATGGTGCTGGACAGGTGGGCAAGTGAAGCTGCTTTCGCCCACCATCCCCTGCCATGCCAGCAGAGGCTGAAGCCTGTGGGCCTGCCACTTGCGGGCCTCCCAGGTGATTCTATCTGGCCCATGAGTGGGTGGTGTCTCTAACTCTGGCCTCTGCTGGCACCATGGGCCAGACAGAATCAATTGGCAGACTGGATATGGCCCTCAGTCCATATTTTGCCCAACCCTGTTTTAAAGAAAGGGAATCACAGAGCTGATCTTCAAAATACTTAGTCTGACCATGTTAGCTATGACCAGCACTTCGGGCTCCAATGTTTGGGATCTACTGGAGAATGCCACCCTAAATTTTCCTGAATCCTAACCATGATTTCAAAAAAATAAGGCAACAGAAGCTGAAGCAAACCATGGAAGGGCAGGGTTGGAGACACCCTCAAGAGATCATCTATCCCAGCAGTGCCCCTTCCACTGGCCTTACAGGTCCAATCTGGTGCATGGAGTCAGTTCAAGGGCCCAATCAGGCACAAAGGGCCACATCATGCAGCTCCTGGGACTCCCCAAGGGTCCAAAAATGTGGTGGCAGGATAAGACCCTTGGCTTCTGGAGCCACGGAAATTAATGCTACCACTGCTCTCCTGCCACCAAATGTCCATACCCCTGTGGAGCAACATTTGCTGGATGACAGTGTCTGTGGGCCGAATCCGGCCTCCAGATAATCTTGGTCACTCCTGACCTAGTCTATCCCCCTGCATTGGGACAGGATTAATTATCCCTAAATGATGGCTACACAAAAAAAGGAAACCCAAACAGGAAACCTGAGCTACCACAGGACAATTACACACAGCTCTCACAGAAAGAAGATACCTTGCCCTGGGAAGAAATTACCCTTGAGTGGAACCTGGTAAAATTTTGCAGGTGAGGGCACAGTAGTGTAACTAAGGGGGGCATCTGGGATACCAGCCCCAGGTGGCAACTTAGGGGGTAGCACAAAAACAGCAGCTGCTGTGTTGCTGACCCAGCCCCGCCTGCTTTCACCAGGAGCCTGGCTGCAGTTGCTGCCCAGTGTGCTACTGTCACCTCTAGGCCACAGAAGTAGTAGTTACACCTCTGTTAGGGCAGATTCACCTTGGTTCAAGGAGCTGAACCAAGTGGCCAAAATGCTAATCTTCTCCCATCCATCCACCATGTCTGCTGGGGCTCCCTAGGATATCCTGTTTGTGCGTGTATGCCTCCATAACCTAGAACTCCAGCCAGTAGTAAGAATGCATGCTCTCATCAGAAGGCAGCCTTCCTCCAGTCCCCTGCTCCAGTCCCATCAGAATTAGCAATTAAGCTCACCATCATGGCTTCCTGGACAGTGAGATGAGGGAGCAGCATATCATCTTGCATGATGTAACAGGACACTTTGCGAAAACTGCGCAGGTCACGTGGCTGTCCGTTAATGAGAATTTCGCCTTTCATCCCGGTCTCTCTGAAATGAAACAAGAGCACAAACCACAGTGGCTCTTACTATCCCAGGCTTTCTTATACATCCCAGCAAGTAGGCCTATAGGGAACTCCTAGCCTTCTCTTAGCTTACTGGAAAAAAACACTGCTGGACTTTACAGTACATGAAAGTGTACTTATTCCATATGTGCATACGTGTGTTGTGTATGTGTGTTACTTGCTGAGAAACTTCACAGGTTGGCAAAAATTTTAATTCAAGTTGGTGAAAAACGTGTTTGCCTTTCTGGATGTCCGCAGAAATACAGGACCATTTTTTGGAATGCTTTTTCTTTGAGGTGGGGTGTGGGAGGAGGAGGGGAAAGAGGTCTCTGCCCCTGCTCCCTCTCATGTGATGACAGCAGCAGAAAGCAACTCCGTGCTTCTTCTTGTGCAGGCAACAGGAGTGAGAAAGAACTACCAAACTTTCCTGCGCTTGAGGTTTAAAATCAACAACTATTTGTACACTCTAAAAATATAGATGGAACAATATTTGCAAGCGTTTACAAAACCAGTTTTAAAATACTGTATATATAAAAAACCTTAAGCCAAATTCATTAGCTGGCTACTAAGCAGACATTTTTCACTTTTTGGATTTAAATGAATAAACTGCACTCTTATTTACTGATCTCTTTTTGCATTTCAGTGGTTAAGTCAGAAGCCTCCAATGTATAACACAGGAACATGACAATGATGACAAGACTGTAACATGTCATGTGAAGTACTTATTTTCCACAGATACTAGGTACGATTCCTCTGCTTTTGTCAACATAAGTCAATATTTCTTTTTTTTACTAACCTGTATCCTGCCAAGATATTCATGAGAGTTGATTTCCCAGCCCCAGAAGGACCCATAATTGCAACAAGTTCTCCACTGCTAAATTTTCCTGAAATTCCTTTCAGCAGGGTCTTGTAACCTGAAAGAAGAAAGCAGAGATTATTAAACAATAAGCCTTCAGCAGTTGGCTTCTGCGGACAGAATGTACTTTGCCTAAAAGGAGGAGACAAAGATGGCTTTAAGCGGGTGAAGGGCAGCAAGTGGAGAGGAGGAGCCTGCTAGTCAGAGCAGCATATCATAGTCACTACGCTTATCTATGGACTTCAGTAGAGGCTGCAGCACAATGGGGTTACAATAATCTATTTTTAAATGGATCCTAGTGCTCCACTCCTTACTCACTCCAGGTAAAAATTTTGTATAAGTGATTTGAGGTCTAACACCCTCTTTCCCAAAAGTTTCTCATTGTATTTTAATGGGGTGTCAGCATCCCAACTACAGTTCTTAATGCCCTGGAGTTAATGCTGTGGGTTTGAAATACAATTCCAGGCAAGAGGACCAGGTTTGAATGGCCAATGGCTGCCCAGCTTTAACAAAGAGTAATTTTAATTGTATTTGGAAATCTTATATTTAAGAAACAAAACATATTTTTCATGCCCTATTGAAGGAGACAGTGCAAGAAACGTGGCAAAAGGAGACATGCTCTACAAAAGATACAGCTTTTTTTCATTGTAAAGATGGGAATTAGCCAAAACCCCAAGATTTTCACTGTACTTTGTGATTCACAAATGTATCTTAACAGAGTGCTGGGATTTAAAAGAAGTCACCTCCTTCAAATGGCTCTGCAGATCCACTCACTGGAGTGGCTTATATTTGAATATTTCATGAACTCCTCCCTGCTCATTTTTAAAAATCAAACAGAAGTGACTGACCCTTTAACCCGTCTGCCAAAGGTCAGGTGGTAGGGAAGTCATCGACCATTTTTATAATTAAATGAAAACAAAAGTGGGGTTGAGAAAAAAGAGCCCTCCTTGCCCCCCTCCCCACATACTCCTCTCCTCCCCAAAAAACAAGCTTTAGTTGTGCTACTTATGACATAAGTGTGAGTCAGTGTAAGTAAGGTTTGCTCAATCTGGCCCATAAAAAATAAGCTCAGATGAAACACAGAATTGTCCATGGTGACTTTGTTACATCAGTTTCTTTTATATGGGGTTGTTCTGATACAGATTTCTACTCTATGGGATTGTTCATCATGAGCTGGGTCTCATAACACTGGATAAGCTTCATAATTATCTTTATACCATAGCAAAAAACTTGGTCAGTTATTAATATTTAAAGAAATATAATCCAACGTACGCATTCAGAGCCTGAAAATATTCATTCTGCTCATGTCTACACAAGATGCTATTAAGCAGTGGTTACCACAAATTTATTTAGTACTTGTAAAATCAAGTACTAAATAAATGCACAGTAACCGGAGTTACGGAACAGTAGCACCAGCAACTATCTTTTAAGTTGAGCTACCGTGCAGTAGCCTAATAATACTGCGCAGTAGTGTATTAACTGTGTCCGTGCTGTAACGCGCTACTGCGCAGTCAGTGTCTCGTGTAGACACACCCACTCCGATTATATATTCATCATCTAAAAATTAATCCTTTGTTTCAGTTGCTAGAAGGTAAAGAGAATTGGTTACAAATACAATACCTCCATTATTGCCTACCTTATAACAATTTTTTTAAAACTTGTTTTAATTACATCTGTTTCAAACTAAAAACTACATTTGATAGTAAACCTGGAAGTCAACCAAAAAAATCAACTTTCAATCCAAAGAGAGTTTTGCCACTGTAAAACAGTGCTTAAATGCGAAAAAAGGAAACAAGAAGAGGAAGAAGAAGAAATATTCCATTAGACAGAGTTAGACATTTTAATCTAGGCACTAC